ATTTATATATTTATTTGATAAAATCTGTCAAATTAAATTAATCAATTTAATTTATATTCATATTTATATTTATATAATTTTTTATTATTTATTATTTATATAAATCTTTTCAAACCTGAAAACAAACAGAATTTTAGGGTTCTAGGTCCCTATGTTCTTTTGTATCCTTCTAGTAAAGTCTTATATATGAGATCTGAAAAAGTGAGAAATAAATGTAGAGTTCAATTTGTTGTACTATCTTAAAGTCTCATTTTAAAATTGAACTGTCACTCACAGTCTGTCAAATGGAATAAATATAAATATAGAGTTATATATTGTAGGTATCACCTAGAGCTAATTTATTGAACTGGAAAGCCTGTAATTTTTCCCCCCAAAAAAGAAGATATAATATATATATATATATATATATATATATATATATATATATATATATACACACACACACACATATATACGTACACATAAACACAATATGTGTGTATGTATGTGTGTGTATATGTATGTGTTTGTATGTATTTTAACATTAATATTAATTGGGATGTTATGCCATTTTGGTTTTTTAAAGAATAAATATATTTAAATATGTTTTTATTTTTATTTTATTTATTTATTTATTTTTAGGATTTTAGGATTCCTATTTTTAGGACATCAATTAATTTCTAGGATTAATCAAATAAATAAATTGTGGCATTGACCATGAAAACAAAATTCAAGAAATTCATGTTGTCTTCTTTTATTGCTTTTCTATGATTCTGAATTGCTGATGTCTTTAAATACACTTGAAACAAATCACAATTGTCCTCCTATGATCTTATGACCAGAAACTAAAGTTTATTTTAAGGTGTGAAAATGGCTCTGCCTATGATAAGTGTCATTTATTGATTTGTGGAGGCTCTTGAGTTCACTGCTGGTCACATATGATGCCGTGTTCACCCTGAGCCGACCAATGGGGTCGTTATTTGAAGCACACGTCTGTAATGATCGGCCACAATGAGCTGTTATTAAAGTTGACGCTTAGCTAGCCTTTGGTGAAAGATGCTTAATTTGTCTCGTTGGTCAGTTTCGCCGCAGTCAAGGGCAGGTTCTCGAGCCTCGATTGTTTGCGATTAAACCCCGATTGCGCCCATCTGTCACCATGTCAACGAGGAACCTGTAACCGGTGCCAAATGCAGGCCAGGGATATTTTCATGTGCGGGAAATAGAAGCCGCATCCTCACATGTGATTATGTCTCATATACAAGGGCTGGCAGCAGCTGTGAAACTAGTATTAGAAGGAAGGTAGGAGGAGAAGGCAATGGAGGTGTGTGTATGTGTGCGATTGTGTGTGTGTCGGTTTAGTGGTGAGGCATTCTGTGGGTGGGCTGTTGAATCCAGCTGGATATAGTGGGCTGGAGAGCTACAGAGCCCTGGATCTCTCTCTCTCTCTCTCTCTCTCTCTCTCTCTCTCTCTGTCTTTCTGCTTTTGGTTCTCACATTCACGTTCACACATGCACATAGGCATTGCTGCAGAGACCCCCTCTCCTTTTTCTTTGGGTGTAGACTTTGCTGTAGCATCACACTTGAATTGGACTTCACATAGCTGAGGGCGAAGTCTTGTCACTTTTGGATCTGGGTGAGGCGGGATACCTTGTGACGTGTCTAATTTTGCTCTTAGAATGTCGAGGATCAAATAGTAGAACGTTTTCTTGAGTTGGATCACGTTGAATTCATTTCGCTATCATCTGCTTTTCTTCTGAAGGAAAAGTGTGCCAGGGTTCTTCTGGTTCGAGGAGCCAGCAAAGACGTCAAAAACTACCGAGGACAAACGCCCTTTCAGGTACAACGAGTTTTTCGCTTGGCTACTTTTCAATGACTCAAAACTATTTTTTCAAATAAGCTTGCTTATGAATTTTAGTTTATTTGGTTGGTTTGTGCATTCATCATGAGTGCTGAATGAACTTGTGTTGTGTGTGTGTGTGTTTGTTTTTCTGATGCGCAGAGTTCTTAATTAATTAGACAGAATGTCACACTAAAGCACAGGCATTATGTAAGACAGCACTCAGAGAACAATGAGTGAGCGTGAGGGTAATTAATAATTTTATTATGTTTGTTTGCATGGGTTTTGGTATCTTAAGATAATTAGGAGTTCGATTTTCGAGAGGGGAAATAATGAACGTCAAATCAGTTTTTGTTGTTTTCTTAAATGCTTTAGTTGCTTTCAAGAACAATCTCTGGTTATTTTGTTTGTTTACTTAAGAGTTTCTCAAATGTCAGATTGTGACATTCAATAGCTTGTCTGACAGCAATGGACATGATCCAAGTCTGTGGCCATGGGCTGATGAGAGTGTTGCGTTTACTGTTCAGTGGCCTTCAATTATGGCTGTGACTGCAATGCCACTTAGTCATTAGTGATTATTATTAGAAATATAGTTAAAACTGAAGTCATATTTGTGCCAGTAGTCATTAGCAGTGTTGGGGTAACTCATTACAAGTAACGCGAGTTACGTAATCAGATTATTTTTTTCAAGTAACTAGTAAAGTAATGCATTACTTTTTAATTTACAAGAGAATATCTGAGTTACTTTTTCAAATAAGTAACGCAAGTTACTTTTTTTTTTCCAATTTATTGATTGACAGCTCTCCTGTCCCCATGTTGAGAGAAATCAGATGCATTACTTTTAAAAGTAACTTTCCCCAACACTGGTCATTAGTGCGTATTATTAGAATTATAGCCAAAACTGAAGTAATTTTTATGTCGATAGTAGTTAGTGCATATAGTCACAAACATTGGCAAAGTTTGATTGGGAAATTAAACAATGTTCGGACAGAAACGTATTAACTCAAACATGTTTATGCCTTGAAAAAAGTATAATATTTAAAGGGATAGTTTACCCAAAAATAAAAATTCTGTCTTGCCCTCAATTTCTTCCAAACCAAACCTGTTTGAGTTTCTATGGAAGCCGTTTCCGCCACTGAATAAAAAAAAAAGGTAAAGGTAATTGCGACTTTTTATCTCACACTTTTTTTCACAGAATTGTGAGATATAAAATTGCGAGTTATAAAGTCAGAATTGCGAGATATGAAGTCAGAATTCTGACTTTTTTCTCAGAATTGCGTGATATAAACACAATTGCGAGCTATAAAGTCAGAATTGTGAGATATAAAGTCACAATTGTGTGATATAAACCCGCAATTGAGAGTTAAAGTCCAATTTTGAGGGGGGAAAAAGACTGATATGTTCTCAGAATTGCAAGTTTATATCTCACAATTCTGACTTTATAACTCGCAATTGCGAGTTTATATCTTACAATTCTGAGAAAAAAGTCAGAATTGCGAGATATAAACTCGCAATTGCGAGTAAAAAAGTCAGAATTGTGAGTTTGTATCTCGCAGTTTTGACTTTATTTCTCAGAATTGCGACTTTATGTCTCGCAATTCCGAGTTTATATCACGCAATTCTGAGAAAAAAAGTCAGAATTGTGAGATAAAAAGTCGCAATTACCTCTTTTATTTTTTATTCAGTGGCGGAAACGGGCTTCCATAAGTTTCTTTCTTCTGTTGAGCACAAAAGAAAATATTTTGAAGAATGTTGGTAAACAAACAGTTGACAGTGGCCATTGACTTTCATAGTAAAAAAATAAATACTATGGAAGTCAATGGCTACCATCAGCTGTTTGGTTGCCAACATTCTTCATAATATCTTCTTTTGTGCTCAACAGAAAAAAGAAACTCAGAATTTTCATTTTTGGATGAACTATCCTTAACGTCTACCTACCATTTGTGCATTGTGTTATTATCTGGCAATCAGATTAATTAGAGACAGATTAAATAATTTACAGTAAATAAATTGTAATTTTGAGTTCTTATTTAGACTTCTAACTTGAAAGATTTTCCTAGTAAATAATTAAATATACCTGTTTTGAGTTATAATGCCAAAACATTATATTTTTAGTAATGTTAAATTAATGATAAATTGTGATTGCTTAATTAGTGACAACATTATGGTTTACAGTGTAGTTATTAATGCTTATTGTTAGAAATATATTTAAAATGGAATAATTTTTGTGCAGAAAGAGAGTATAAAGAATTTCTGTTAAATTTTACACATGTATGCATTAAGCAGAACGTTTGTTAGTTTAGCAACATTTCTTATGAACAATTAACACAACTTTTTCTTGTGTTTCACGAAGGTTAGCAATTATTTTCACACAGGTTTCCAAGAACTATGTCTTCAATTGGTTGGATTGCCCCACTCATTCCAAACAGATAACCACGGCCTATACTCATGCTGATGGTTAAACCACTGTTGCCGTGTTAGTCTGAATCCTTAAACAAACAGCAATGTTTTGATTACAATGCAGAGTAAAGGTCCTTGCACACCGAGTCCGAAATTTTCGTATGCATTTTTTCGTATTTGTCATTCTAAAAATTCATCACGCAAGAAACCTTGCACACTGAGTCCAACGCGTATTAATTAATCTGTTGCAAAAAAATTTGCAAACAATACAAAATGGAGTCTTCAAGCAGTGAGGATGATTTTGTTGTCTTCTCTCTTCTTAAAACAAGAAAAAGAAAGAGGAAATATTGGGTCCATCCAATCCGGAGGTGGCGTAGAGAGGAAGGAGAGTTCCACCTCCTCATCAAGGAGCTGCGGGATTATCCCATGTGATTCAAAGTTTACTTCAGGATGTCAGCGGCTCAGTTTGATGCTTTGCTAGCGATACTGGAGCCACATATTAAAAATAAGACCACCAATTTCCATGAACTCAGTGTGCAAGGACCTATACAGTGCTTTGTGCTGCCAGACAAAGTGGATCAACTTGTCAAACGCCATTTTGGATTTTGGTGTTCGCTTGTACGGTAGCTTTCAATTGTCAAAACACCTCTCAAAATGATTGCTAAGGATGCGAAAAACGCAGAAAATCGAACCCGATCCCAATTTTTTATGACGGATGAAATTTTCGGAGGCATTGTGTAAAAGCGATTGACACAACGTGAGTGAGGTTGTATTTATTTTTAACGTGCGGAAATTTGGGACGAAAATCTCGGACCTTTCTTTACACTTTTCAGGGGAAGCAAACTACAAATGATGTACTTACAGCTCCAGGATACAGGAACAATTATGATATAGGAGCTTATAATATTTCATTTACATGATTGATTTTACATTGTGATATACTGTATTATAATAGGAATTTATTTAAGATCCAATCTTTTAAGTACCCACTTCTAATTACATTTTTTTATTATTTTGAGTTCAGTTGCTATTAAAATGACATAATCCTAACCCATAATCCCCAGCCCTCATATCACTATCATAACGAAGTGAATTATTAAAGCTTCAAAGCAAATGCTGATACGTACAGTAAACACGCCAACATCAATACTGTACTAAACCACCCACATAATGGAAGCTTAACCCTTTGAAATGCATCCTCCTTGACAGAAATATCCGTATCCTTTTTGCTCTTCGCTACATCTATCACATTGCATTGATTTCACAGGGCACAGACCTGTCCATCCAGCAAAAGCCTGGCATGTTTTTAGTTTATGCTTAATGTTTAAACGCCTTTTTCTGTTTTCAGTGCAATAGAGTGGAAAAATACTTGGTTTGGATGTATGCCTTAAAATATATGTTGTTGTTTGTGCCTCCAGGAAAACTGTGGCTTTTATTAGCAAGATGGCACATATCGCAACAGTAATCCAATGGCAAACCTCCAAAAACTTTCAAATAGAGCTGAGATCATTAGTTTTGCAGTCGGCTCTACAGTCAAACGCATCAAGTCAAACATTAGCAACACTTGCCGCTACATTTAGTGTTCATGGCTGGCCTCTTTGTGCGAGTTGCTCGGTTTACAACCTCTAAAGCTTTGAACTGACCCTGCTCACTCCAAACCTGACGTAGGAGTGAAGTGTTTATGTAATGTACATATCAGCGCTCTCCTGATGTGTTGTTTAATGCGGTGTATTATTCATCTCATGCTGCTAAAATCATATTTCACGCCTAGGCGATCGCTCGATTACAACTCATTTAAGCAGCTCATGAAACTTCAGGCTCTCGGCGGGAACACTCCGATCCGCCTGGTTAAACAGGACTTTTTCCCTGCAAAATCGAAAATGTGCTGAGCAAATGATATTACCGTTACCCTTTTACGATGATACCAGGTCAACAGCAAACCGAAAGCTTCTGGTTCTTACACAACAGTGTGTGCTTTCGTACATCAGACCACCCAAATCAGTTGAACAAATTTCTTGACCTATTTGTTTCCAAATTAGGCGTCGATTGACTTTGATTTTGTGTTGTTTTTTTTTCTACTTAATTAATCTAGCATTAACTAGCATATAATAGAAGCTGCTGCCAGGCACTGTATTTCATTAGAAAAGGAATGCAGTTCTTCTCAAGCTCATTACGTAAATCTTAGCAACTCATTTAGTGTAATGTGAATGAAGTCTGTGTTTTATCACTCTTAGGAATACACTACTCCAAAACCCACAAGCGTAATGGGTTACTGTGCCTTTGTGCACCATTTAAAACCCAGTTTTGTTCTCACGACCAGACTTGGTGACCAGACTGATGTGTAAATTATAGATCTTATAATAGACTGCGTAGCTAACTTTTTAAAGGGTGGTAAAATTAAAGCCATTAAATAGAAATGAACCTCTGCTGAATGGGTAGTCGTGCTTTTGGAACTTTTTTTTTTGTTTCATTGCTGTGAAGGCCCTTTTGAGGATACATTAAGCTTTGCGGGGGTGGTTCACCAAAAAATTAAAATTCTGTCATTTATTCACCCTCCTGTTGTTCAAAACCTGTATTACCCTTTTTTCATCTTAAAATGCAAAAGGAGATTTTATGCAGTAAGTTCATGCTGCACTATTATATTGTTTTACACAATCGTTCAAAAGTTTGGGGTCAGATATTCAGGGTTAGGGTAAGATTTTTTGTTTAAGAAATTAATATTTTTTTAGTACACACATTATTAAATTGATCAGAAATAACAGTAAAGACTTTTATAATGTTGCAGAAGATTTCTATTTCAAATAAATGCTTTCT